CTCCATTCTGACCCCCTCACCTCTACTAAGGCCTCCCTCCCAGGTCACCTCTTTGGGGCCTGGGTCCCCTGCACAGGAAGTGGCCTCCACTGGCCCAGGCCACAGAGCTGGGTCCCCAATGGCCCCCTCCCCACCAGAGTGCATTCCAGGACTTTCCTCCCTCATCCTCGGAGCACCCAGAGGGCCATTCCAAGCAGAAAACGAGGGACCAAGACGTGGAGAGGCGCGGTGGCCACCCAGGCTGTCCTGCCCCAGCATGACTCTAACCCGCCCCTCCCCCCACGTCTCCCCAGCCTCTATCCCCCCAAGCTCTAACTTGGGAAGCCACCACTGGGGGGGTCAGCACAGGCACCTCTCCCCTGTGCCTGCCCGGGAGCAGCCCCTCTCGACCCCAGGCTCAACCACAGGACGGGTTAACGTTTGGCCCTTCTCCATGGGTGACTGAGGCAGTGTCACTCCCCCCTGGATGCCAGCTTCCCACCTCCTGGGCAATTCCTGTGGACCCACCAGATCCCTCTGCTTAAGCCAGACGGAGTCAGAGGCCTGAGGGATGCAAACTTGTTCTCCCTGGTAAAGCGCTGGGAACTCCGTGCCCGCGCTGGATGGAGCGCAACTGCCAAGAACCAATCCCCCCCCCTTAGCGCTCCATCACTCGTCCCTCCCCGGCTGCTCCCGTGGCCCGCAGCTGTGGCCTGGACCAGGGTCCCCATGCTCCTCTTCAGCACCTAGTCCTTGCAGGGAGGAGGGAGGAGAGGTCACCCCTGCTCCTAGAAGCAGACGATGGGTGTAGGGTGACAGAAGCCTTCAGAAAATGCAGCACCTGGAATGAACAGTAGGTGCACCAGGGCATACTGGGTAGCAGAGGGTTCTGACGCTATCTCAGCTTGGTGGGAAACAGAGCCCATGTGTTCTGCCACGGGAGCGGGGGAGGGGGCCGTGGGCAGGTGCTCATGGCCTGAGAATGTTCCAGAACTAAGCAAGGCTGCCGGTGTCCTGCCCGCCCCCAGCCGGCCCCTGCGGTGGTTACCTGGCTTCTAGGACAGCATGGGACCATCTACAGGTGTGCAAAATAAGGGGGCTAAGAGTGAATCATGTGCCATTTGCAGGTATTTGCATGTTGTCAATCTCCTGGACGAAGGTTCTGCCTTGCGTTTTTCTCTGTGATTTAATTTGTGGGTTCTCAGGCCCTCGGACCCTCCAGAACCAGCTCTGTTCATGACGCAGAGCAGCAAGAAGACCCCCAAGGCCTTGTTGAGGGCAGGGCCTCACCTGGAATGCTCTGACTCAGGCCAGTGTTGGCTGCAGACCCAGCCCCGCCTCGACAACCAAGCCCACTTCAACCCCTGACCAGAGCCCCGAGGAAAGGGGCCTCCCCAGGCTCACCTGACCACACACACCATCCCGGGTGAGACCTGGACCCAGCGTTAGGGGACATTCGTGCCTCCAGACAAGAATTCAAGCAAAAAATTCAAAGCAATACAAGCAAACTGCTCACCACCCCCACCACATTTTCAGTCTCAAACAGGAGAGAAGCTGCCACAGAAGTCAATGATTGAGCACAAGGGGGAAAGTATTAGGGTCTTTGGAGGGGCGGGGAGAGAGGCTATCAGGATAGGAGCTGCCCCTGGGGCATCTGGAGGAAGTTCCTGGCATGGCCCTGAGGGGCAAACCCCCCACGTCTGCCTGTAAAGCTCCCCAAATCGGAGTGCGGTCTCCCCTCGGCCTCACGGGGCCTGCTCTCCCGGAACTTCCCGAGAAAAGCGCTTGGTGTTTGCATGCAGAGCACGCGAATTGCAAACAGGAGTCCTACCTCCACGAGGGTCCAGCCGTGGGAGCGCATTGTCACTGAGCTCCCGGAGGGTCACCGAGCTCCCGGACGACTTCAGGCGGCTCTAAACACCAACGGTTCCGCCCAATCCTGCGACAACCAAACGCCGTCGTGAAAACGCCTGAGACGCCGAGTGCAGGCAGACGAGGCCTGGGTGGGGCTAGCAAAGGGCAATTGAGAGGAAAAGGGCCGCGGTGCCTGCTGGGTGCTCGGGCAATAGCATGGACACATTAGGCGCACCTGCCGCCCCGGCCGGCCGTGGGGGCGGAGCACGAGGAAGGGCCGCGTGGGTCCCACGCTGACAGCCAAAACACCGCCTGCCTCCAACAGAGGCTCATGCCCAGACGGTGGGGGGGGTGCCCGTGCTTTGAGGGAACAGAGGCTGCTTGGAAAGGCGGAAAAGGCCAACAGCGTCTTCAGCTCAGAGGACGCGAGACACAGAACCAGAAGCAGAACCTTGATTCCAGCGAGGCCATCAAATAGGGAGAGCTCCGTGGGCTGAAGACCTCATGTCCTGCAGGTGGTTCTGCCCTGGGCTCGTGGAGGGAGGAACAGACAGGCGGCAGGTGGGTGGTATATAGGGGCCTGGGTGGTCCACGGCTGGGCTTGTCTTGCAATCAGGGGAATCTGGGTCAGCTGATCCGGAAATGGTCTCCACGTCCCGCTGGTCTCAACAAATCAACCATGAGACAGAGGACAGGGAGCTGCAGGGTCTGGCCTGGTCCCTGGTGACCCAGGGGTCATCTGTGGGTCTTGTGGAGCCACGAGGAAGAGCGGACCGGAGTCTCCTGTAAGTCATTAGGGGAAGGGGATCTCTGCAGAAAGCCGGCCCCCAGGGGACTGGAAAACAAAAGGTTTGTGGAGCCTTTTTCATTGTCCCTGTTTTTCGGCTGCTCACACAGGTGAAGTTCCCCATCATCCTAAAAAGCTCAGAGGGAGCCCAGCTGGTCCAGCCATTTCCCCGAGGAAGGCCCACGGCTGCCTGAGCCCCACGCTGTGCCGGAAAGCACGCAGCCCCTTGCGCCCCCTCTGTCCTCATAGCTGTCCCCTGGGGGAGAGCAGTTGTCGCCTCCGCCAGGGTCACACGGTCTGGGGCCCTGTCCCCTCCCCACGCAGGCCGCACACGCCCACCGGAGAGCAGAAGGTGGGGGTCAGCACCACGAGGGTGTGAACCATGGCCCAGGCTTCCCCCGGCCTCACCCCCGGCCCTGGGGGCTCGCACCCCCCGCGCTCTCGGGGCGCACGTTCTGGGCGCATTCTGGACACACGCTCGCCGTCCGGGGGCTGAGGCTCGCGCTCCTCTGGTGGGCAGCACAGGGACAGCTCACATCCGAGCTGTAGCAGAATGATTTTCTCGCAGAAATCAGAGCTCAGCACACGTCTGTGCAGATTTCACGGCCAGCCGTGAGCACCGGTTACGCCTCCACACGAGAGAGCTTTTGGCTGTTAGCCACTTTGGGTGGGGAACAGATCCAGAGCATCATGCCTTGAATGGCAGCCTTGCCTGTTAGCGGCACTGGCTCAGTTTAGGGGGTGGGGGCGCCCAGCTGTCAGCCCACCCCCCACCCCGCATGCTTCTTAACGCAGAGCTCCTTGCCCCAGTCTTCTACCTCACGGTGCCTGGGCTTGCTGCAAGTGCCACCGAGCAGCTCCTCACCCATCTGTCACAGACGCCCAGGCCTCGGCGCCCTGGCCAGCGCTCTGCATTTCTGGCACAGTCCCAGGAGACCACTGGCGAAATGGAGAGAGGCTGGTATGCACCAGCTTTGGGGTCCCCGACGGCTGTGTGTGAAATAAAGGCAGGAGCAGGGGGCTCCCTCCTGTCCATCAGCTTGCTGAGCTCCCAGATACGTGGGAGGTACTTTTTGTTGGCAGGGGACTGGGGGGGGGGTGGTAGGCAGGGCGCACGAATTAGTTCCTGATTCCTGTGTCCGGGGCAAGGGACAGTAACACAGCCTCCCTATGAGTGAGATGTTCCTGTGCAAAAAATAGAGAGTAAAGAAACAGTTCAGAGAGTGAGACTGACTCAGGACCGGCCACTGAGCACCAAGGACGGAGCTTGACCTTGACAGGACGGAAGAGGCACGAACATCCAGGTACCTTTGCCCACTGAGCTTGGTCACAAAGTCACAGGCCTGGGACCCATCCTCTGGCGAGGCCTCACCGTCTCATCCCCTCCTCCCCGCCTGACCTCAGGGTTTTGGCCAGCAGGAGACACACCTCCTCCCAAACCGCTCCACGGAAAATCTGCTTTTAATGGGCACCACAGAGGCCAGCAGAAAAGTGATCTCGAAAGGAATAGGGACAGGGTCGGGGACACGTGCCCATCTCGGAGGTCGGGAGCACAGCGGCTCACCCACAGGAGGCGGGGGCTGCCTGCCCGGAGGCATCCAGGTCTCACGCACGTAACGTGGACAGTGGGAGTCCCACTGAGCAGGCCGTTGCTGGGGTGAGAGCGGCGGGCTTGGCGGGGTGCCCAGAGCCTCCCTTCATTGAGGAGCACCACATGGGGATGGTCCTGCCTCTTCAGGGGCTCCCTGCTCACCCCAGCACCCCCAGCTCCTGCTTAGCACCTTGGCAGTGGCAGTGGGCTAGGGAGGGGGCCAGCCCTGCTGACCCCTCCAGGGGGATACGCTTTTCAGGCTGGGGCTCCAGGGGCATTGGGGCGGCCTGGGGTCGGGGTTCCCCTGACCCATGAAGTATCTCTGGGTGTCTGCAGTAGAAGCTGGGGGCCTTTCGATGGGGCGCCAGGCAGCTTCTATCTGCAGGGGACTACGCAATCCTGGGCAGGCTCCACCCACAGCTGAGGACAGTGTTGACAAACACTTTAATACCAGGCTTTCCCCTGGAAAAGACGCTTAACATAACAAGTGCAGGTGGGTAGAAGGTCACAGTGTCACACCGGTGAAGGCTGGTGGTCCTCCTGTTCCTCTCCTCCCCTGCTTCCCGGGGAGGTGAGGGATTCCCACATGGAGTCCAGACTTGAACTTCAAGCGCCCGGACCCAGGCCACCCTATGGCCCGTGTTCCTAGGGAGGGAAGCGGCGGGGGCCCCGGGGGCTAAAGGGGCATCTGTGCCTGTCCTGGCCCAGTGGACAGGTGGACCCAGCACGTGAGCAGATGGGGGGCGGAGGCAGGGCGAGGCAGGGCGCTGGGCAGGAGGGGGGCTGCCCTCAGACCCCGCTGACCGAGGGCTCCTGCTGCTGGGGGGGACCCTGCGGCCTGAGGACCCCAGCCCTGGCTCCTGTCTTCCTGCGTCTTCGGGGGGTCTCTCGGGCCGCACTGCAGCTGGTGACGGTGCGGCAGGCCGCGCGCCCCCGTCGCTCCCCCGACGGACACCAGCACAAGCGCCGAAAGGCGTCCCGGCTCTTCTGGGACACGAGGCTGTAGACGATGGGGTTGACGGCGCTGTTGGTGGACATGCAGGTGTGGCAGCAGAGGGACACCCGGGGCTCCAGCAAGGGCTGGGCCACCAGCGTGCGGTAGGGCATGCGAAGAGCAACACGAGCACCACCGGCCTCTTGGGGACCTGCGGGGCACGGGGACAGGCTGGTGGCCAAGCACATGCCCCGGAAGGGGCGGCCACACCTCCCGCCTCAGAGCTGTGTGCTGAGTCCGGACGAGAACGCCCCTGGAAGAGTCAGCTGCAACTGCACATCTGCCAGGCGGCATGCTGCGTCCCGGGCGCCGACCAGGGCGGGCGTTCCCGGCCGTGCTGGTGCCTGAGATCATGAGACACTGCGCCCCGGGTGCTCCCTGGTCACCGCCCTGCGTCCCCAGGGGCTCCCAGCTGGGACAAACACTGATGCTTGGGGCCCCACGCAGCCGCGAGCCTGGGACGGCTCCCCTGGACGTGGCACCATCACGGTGGCCCTTCCGGGATGGGGAAGCACAGCGTGGAGGGCGAGAGAGGCCTCCCCAAAACCCGCCCATGCTCATGACTGTCCCGAACGGCCCCCTCCAGCCGCAGCCGTGACCCTCTAGGTGGGACCTCTACTCGCACCGTGTCCTGTCCTTCAGTTCAGGAGTGAGTCGCAGACCCAGAAAGGCCTGTGGGGGGATTCGAAGCCCACCTCCGTGCAGCCAGGGACAGTCTGCCAGGACCAGGGTGTCTGTGGGAGTTGGGGCCATCAGGAAGGGGAAGGGGCACCCATCCGGGCCTCTGGGGGACAGCTACCAGCCTGACCCATGCTGGGAGGCTCCTGGGGGCCCCGGAGCTGAGGAGAGGTCTCCAGGGGGCCCCTCCCTGCTGCCGTCTCCAGGGGGTGTAGGTGCTGGGGTTTGCAGGGCCAAGTGACATCCCAGCTCGTAGACTCCTGCTGTGTGACCCTGGGCAGCCCGCTGAGCCTCTCTGAGCCTCCCTTGCCAGCTTACAGCATCAGGATGTCAGCAATCTCCTTCCCGAATTGTGGTGAGGAAGGGGGACCATGCAGTCATCACTGGCTTTTGCCCCAGGAGGTGTGACCACCTGTGTGTCCAGAGCTATGTCCCTGAGAGTGAGGGTCTTGGCCACTCTGTGAGCCTGGCTCTGTCTCTCCCCGTCTCTGTCTCTCCTCTCGCAGGTCTTTGTCTCTCCATCCCTCTGTCTCTGTCTCTCCTCTTGCGAGTGTGTGGCTCGGTCACAGGTGTCCCCCCTGCTCAGTGCTCTCCCTCCGTGTCTCTGAGTGTGCACCTGTCTCGGGCTCCCCACGTGTGGGGCTCCCGCTGTCTTAGAGCCCCCGTCGCTGCCCCTGCTTCCCTGCAGTCAAAGCCCCCAACCATTCACGCTGCCCCCTGCCAACCCAGTGCGCCAGGCTTGTGTCCGCCTCCGGGCCTCACCCTGCTCCCCCCAGTGCTTCCTGGGACATGCTTGGCCTGCCCCTTTGCTAGCCTCCGCTGTCAGCTCTGTGAGGCCTCCCTGCCTCTCCCTGAGCCCCGTCCCACGTCACCTTGTCCCTGGGTCCCCCACAGGCTGCGTGTGGGTCTGCCCTGTGGTCCCAAGTCCCAGCGCCCAGAACCCGGCGTGGAGAGTGAACGAATGCGCGTCCTGCCTGCATCCCCTCTCTGCCCAGCTCTGCCTCACACCTCTCCCTGCCTCTCTGCCCACCAGCCACCTTCCGGCCACCCCCACCCAACTCTCCCGGAGACCTCACCCACCTGCTTCCTGGAAGACCTGGGGCTCCCACCTGGCCCCCGGGGCTGCTTCTCTTGGGTTCCTGGCTCCTGCCAGGCCTCACCGTGCCCGGCCCCGGGGTGGGGCGGGTGGGGCAGCGCGCTCTGGAACAAGACTCTCCCGATGAGCCGGTAGAGGGCGGTGGCCACCAGCAGGGGCGTGGCGAAGAACGGGGCGAAGTCCAGCAGGTAGATGGGCAGGTAGAGGCTGTGGGACACTCTGTAGCCGCACTGCGGGCCCTGTCTCTCGCTGACGTGCAGGTCCGCCAGGAGGAACCAGAGCGGGCAGTAGACAGACATGACCCCCCAGACCGCCGCGACGATCCGCTTGGCCCGGGCCACGGTGCACACGGTCTGCGCCGCTCTGGGTGGCAGATGGCGAGTACCTGCAGCCACGGGGCGGCCGTGTTGGGCGCTGGGGCAGCGGGGTCGGGGAGCCCTGTGTGGGCACGTGGGCGTGTGCACGTGTGAACGAGCACACGACCCAGCCTGGCCCATCAGATCCCCCATCTGGTCCTGGTCATGGAAGGACCTGAGGGCCATGAAGATCCAGGGGGCCAGGCAGCTGTGTTGAGGGCGTGTAGGAAGTGCTGCAGCTAGAGGCCCCTGGAGGCCCCCCAGGCTCAGCCGCGTCTGCTGCAGGCCCAGGGACCCCAGGGCCCTTTCAAAGACCTTTGACCTCTGCGAGAGTCCCGTGGGTTTTTAGTTGCTCACCTCCAAAGGTCACCAACTGAGAGAGCCAATGACATCACACGCCCTTCTCAGCCGGCTCAGACGCGGGTCCCCACCCTGCCAGGCCCTGGGGTAAACCAGCGCGGGCAGGAGATGGAGGTCACTGGAGCCCAGACAGCCACGGCCCAGGAGAATCAGGACCAGGCCAGCATTTGGAAGTCCGAAGGCCTCAATTATGTCCCAATTCTATGTGGCCCTGGACAAGCCACCCAGCCCCTGGGCCAGCCTGCTCAAGACCGTGTAGCTAGGAAGGTGCAGAGCCAGGTGTGAACCCAGTCAGCAAGCATCGGAGTCCACATGCTTAACTCTGGGTTACACCACCTCTCGGGGCTAAAATCAGAGCGAAAGGAACCCCAGAGAATGTCCAGTCCAAATGCCCACTTCCCAGGTGGGGAAACTGATGCCCGGAGATGTAGGATTGCCTCGGCATCTCAAGGCAAGTCAGCAGCAGAGATGAGAGAAGAGTCCTTCTGACCCCTGCTTCCCGGGCCCGGGCTTCCAGGGTCCCACCCCACTCCGCTCTCTGGAAAGGGGAAATCAGCCCTCCTGCTCAGCTGAGGCTCAGCTTCCGAGCCTCCCAGCTGGGAAGTCCCGGCTGGTTGCTTTGTGGGAGGGAGATGCATGCAGGGCAGGGCTGGGGAGCACCCACCTCTCCACGGTGAACGCCAGGATGGAGCAGGAGGAGACGCCGATGCCCGGGTACTGCAAGTAAGTGATGCCCAGGCAGCCGGCGTGCCCATGGACCCACTGCCCAGCCAGGCTGTCGGAGACGTTGGGCAGCCCTGCGGCCACCAGCACGGTGAGCTCAGCCAGAGCCAGGCTGACCAGGTAGCAGTTGGTGGGGGTGTGCATGTCGCGAGCGGTCAGCACCACCAGGACCACTGTGGCGTTTCCCACTATGCCAGTCACGCACACCAGGAGCACCAGGAAGACTGAGACCACCTTGTACTCGGTCAGGTCCAGGACAGCCTCTCCACGTGCCTGCAACACATGGCTGGGCTTGTCCAGCTTGCTCCCGTTTTCCATGGTGGCTGACCAGGTGCTGGAGGGGGCAAGAAGAGGGGGCTCCAGCACACATCCACGGCCAGTGGGGCCGGGCCTCGTGCACCTGCGGGGCCCAACCAACACCAGCCTCTGCTAGAAGCCAGGCCCCCAGGGACACACGGGGCCCTCTGCTTGTGCTATTGCTCTGCCTGGCCAGGTGAGGGGACAGAACAGGGAATACATGTCCAAGGCTCTGCTGACAACATTGCTGAGCCTCCCCACAAGCCTCGCTTTCCTGGAGCATCAACACAGGGACAACCATACCTCACACACAAGGGGCAGGAGTCGTGCGGGTGAGTGCATGTCAGCTCTCAGCCCAGCACACCCTGAGTGCTCACATCAGCTGCCCTGTGCTGTGACGAAGGCACACAGCAGCTCAGTCTCAACGAGCTCATCTATGAAATGGGGAGGCCAGAAGTACCTGCTGTGCAGGGACGCGGTGAGGTTCTTGAGAAACGGCAAGGCGCAGAAAGTTGTGGACCTGGTGCCTGGTTACGCTCCCTGAGCCTCGGCACCCCCATCTGTCAGCAGGGGTAACAACAGCAGGTCCCTCCTCGGGTGCTGCAGGGAGCGAGCTAGATCAACACGCCGGGCTGGTGGGATGCCCCGTTGTGGTTTCCCAGGAGCAGAGCCGAAAGCCAGAGACTGGCTCCCGCCCACAAGCCCCAGGCCGTGGCCACAGCAGAGCCTTTCTGGAAATGGGCCAGGGTCTTCCTGCCCCTCCACTGGCAGCCCCGCCCTGCCTCCTCGCTAGCCAGGCCCACCCCCAGTCGGACCCAGAACCAGGGCGGGTGAGAAGCAGGTGAGGCTGAGGCAGACCACACCCAGAGACAGTCGCCAGGCCGGGTGCTCGGCCCAGTCCTGCCTGGCCTGAGAGGCCAGAAGCCCCCGCTGCAGCCCCCACGGGGCAGGGGCCAGGGCGCAGAATTGGCGCAGGGCCGGGAGAGAAGTGGTGGTCCCTAGGATGCTGTCCACACACCTGCGCACACACGTCTCCAGGCGTTCGCACACAGAGACAGCCCATGGCTCCTCCCCCCCATACAGCGACACGCGGACATGCAGACATACAAGCACATACACACACAAACACTCATGAACCAAGCTCCCCTCCACAGCAGACCCAGCACACGCGGCTGCACACACAGACACACGGACGTGCCGCACGCGCATCTTCATGGACACACACTTGAACTATCCCCCCCACACCCTATACCCAAAACACACAGACCCAAGTGCACACACGTGTATGTAAAGCCAACACAGGCTCACGCACGCCCCCACTGAACAGGTGTGCATACCATACAGACAGACACACTGCCCACTCTCATGCCATGTGCACAAGTACCTGGAACACACCCTCCACACTGGACTCATAGACACCTGCACACATGGACCCGCGAGGGCCCCCAGCCCGTTGCTCTCCTGAAAATGAGCCTCCTTTTCTGTTTAGCCGAGGAGACCATCAGCCCGGGATCCCAGCACAGCTGCTGCGACCCCCCTTCCCCAAGGGCCTCACGTGCCTTCTGCCTTGGAGGCGGGCAGCCCCAGGACGGAACCTCATAGCAGCCCCCTCAGATATACAGCCTCCCTGCTGCTGGGAGTCTGCCCCATCCCTGCCTCCTCCGCCTCTCAGAAGACCCCATCCTCCCGCCTCCATCTCCCCACCCCGCCTGCATGCTAGCCTTTCCTCAGGAAACATTCCCCCAGGTGGGAGGCCACCACGGCTGGCTCCCAGCCCAGCCCCCAGGAGAAACCTGTGAGCTCAGAGAACTTGCCCAGTGAGGAGCTTTATCGCCTTCTTCCTCCTTCCAGAGACGGGGACAGGGGGAAGACAGCCCCGACACCTCAGGCAGTCCGCGGACAAAGGCTTCTCATCCTGCAGGCTGCAGTGCCACGCGAACGCGCTGTGTATGCTCGCACACACACACGCAACAGCCCTGCCAACTTCTCCCTGCTCCCGCACGCCCCTCGCCCTCCCCCTGCAGGAGTGACTGCCAACCCGGCGGTGGCGGCCGCTAGTGCGGCTTCCCTCCCCAGCAGGAGACCCGCTCTGCCACCCTGCGTCCCCTCGCAGGCCAGGGGCAGGGGCTCCCCGGGAGTTCTTCAGGCTGAGAAGAATCCTGCTGGACAGCTGAGCCACTGGCGGTCTACCAGGAGGAGGCAGAAATCCAGGGAGGAGGTGGGGAGGGCACGGACGGGCCCCCTTACCCTGAGAGGCCAGGCTGAGATTAACTGGGAAGCGCTCTGGGGTCTACAGTCTGCAAGTGACTCTGGTGTGGGGTCCACCCCCTGGGGGTCTTTGCAGTGCTCTGGAAAGGAAGGGATGACGTGCTCACTAAGCACCTAGGGCAGCGTGTGCCAGAAGGCAGACCGAGGCCTGGGAGGGGGAGTGGCTTGCTCCGGCCGAGAGGCAGGTCTAGAGCCCAAGTTTGGGGGCTCTGGGAAGCAGGGGTGCCCCGGGCCCTTGCTGCTGGGTGCCCCACAAGGGGGCATGGTTGGCATATCTTCTCTTGGCTAGCCCTTGGGAGGAGACCACAAAGGTGCCCGTCAGCTGGCCCAGAAAGCAGAAGTCCCAGACTGTTTCCCCCACATGGCCAGGGGCCTGGTTCTTCCAAGGCATTTAAGATGCAGATTTCAGGGGCGCCGGCTTGCTCGGTCCAGTAGAGCATGCAACTCTTGATCTTGGGGGTCCATGGTCATGAGCTTGAGGAGTCACAGGCGCACGCCTCAGAACCGAGGAGGGACCCAGTTAGTGTGCTAATTCCTGGCCACAGATTGAGTGACCGGCAGCAATGCCCTTGAATATGGGTTTTAATAGCCCTCTCCCCAAGAAAGTCCAATGACCCCTGGTGACTTTCTCTCTTTTACTTTTTCATTTTGAAATGGACTCAACATATGGGAAGGTGCATCCAACATAAATTGGTGGTTGAATGAATAAAAGTGAGGCCCACCCTCCCGGTCCCTGCCCTTCCTCTGCAGACGGTCACCACTTCCCTGGCCTGCAGCCCCAAATGCCATCCTTTATCTTGCCTGCCTGGGAGCTTTCTGTAACCAGAACCACACGGAATAATTTGCGTCCTGCTTATTCCCAGCATCACGCTGAGAGATTCATCTCTGCTGAGTGTGACTGTCCCCTATCCGTTTTCCCTGCCGTGTGATATTCTGCTGTAGGACTCTCTGCAGTGTGTCCGCACACGATGGGCTGTTGGTGGACTTCTGGGTGGTTTCCAGTTTGGGAGAATCACAGACGACACGGCTAGAGGGCTCCTGCGCCCAAGCTCAGGCTGAGCGGCATTTTCATCCACTTGTTCCCAAAAGTGTGATATCCAGGGCCTGGCTCACCCTGGACCACAGAGATCAGGGGAGAGGGCTGATGGGGGGTGGGGGGAGGGTGGCCGAGGCACCTGCACAGGGCAGGCCTCGGTCCTCGTGCCCCTAAGCGAGGCATCCCAGCTCCGCACTAGGGCTGCCAGAACCTCTGGGAAGGCTGTGATCCCGCGAGCCACCGTCACATGGCAGGGTCACTGTTCCCAGGCGCAGAGCATGCGTCCGTCTCCCGCCATCCCTGCTGCTACGTCCCCGCGGCCCACGCCTCTGCGGCCCTCCTCCAGCGGGGGTCCCCCCGCCCCCGTGAATTCAGACCCTGGACAGCTCCGGGCGCTGTCCTGACTCGCTGGTGCTGAAGCCACCTGCTGCCTCATCAAGCAACCTTCCAGAAGGAGCCACAGGTAAGGGGACCTCGGGAGAGAATGGAATCAAGTGCCTACCATCCCGTCTCCACCAAGGCCCATGGAAGTGAAAACGGAGGTGCAGAGAGGGAAAGTGGCTTGCCCAGCCGTGCAGTTAACAGTAGCAAATGAAATCCACGGCAACAACTAAGACGCGGGGACAATTGCTATGCCCCACACACTGTGCTGTTTGTGTGCACAGTGTCTCAGTCAATCCTAAGAGCAGGATGCCCTTGACAGAGGAGAACCTACAACAGCCTCATGCTGGGTCTTTCTTCTACTCCACTCCTCCTGCCCTTGATCTTGGGGAGTCCTGCTCCTTTCTGGGAACCGCCCAGAACCTGTCTTTCACTCTGCCCTGAGTTCTCCCAGCCACTAGCTCGCCTGCACCATAGACAGATGCTGTGTCCCCACCCCCCCGTCTGTGTGTCCCAGGAGCCCTACAGCCAGCAGCCTCCCAAGAAACCCCCAGCGGCATCTCCTGGGGTTACGGAGCAGTTACATAGCTTTTGTTTGTAACAAGACCACTCGCTGACAGCTTAAATGTCCATTCAGAGTGGTAAGAACTCAATGCTGTGTCCCCACAGCAGAATATTGGTTAAGACCGATGTCATGGGCGCCTGGGTGGCTCAGTCGGTGAAGAATCTGCCTTCGGCTCAGGTCATGATCCCAGGGTTCTGGAATCGAGCCCCACATCTGGCTCCCTGCTCAGCGGGAAGCCTGCTTCTCCCTCTCCCTCTGTGTGTGCACTCTCTCTCTCTCAAATAAATAAATAAATCTTAAAAAAAACTACGATGTCATAAGAAGTACTGATTGGCATGGCAAGGTGTTCGTAACAGAGTGAGCAAAAGCCACCTGTAAAGAACAGGTAAGTATTGTCTCCTATTCATGAATGTGTTCATATCTAATAGCAACCATCCTCCAGGAGCGTGCCATGTGCCAGGCCTGGGCACGGCCTGTGGCGTCTTGTGTGGCTGTTGCGACCATCCCCACATGCTGGCAACTGTTAGTACCACTGTTTTTCAGAAGAGAAAGCAGAGTCTCAGGAAGGTGAGGCGGTGGCACGCAGAGTGGGGATTTGAACCCAAGCCCCTCCTCCTGCAAAGTTGGTGTCTTCAGCCACAGGGCTGGGCAGCCACTCCTCCCCCGAGACTGGAAATGCCCGGATCCTGGTACATACCCAGGGCCCAGATCACCTTATTTTCTTTATCTGTCTGCCTCTATACAGGTGGGTTGATTCAGTAATTAGAAAAAATGACCAAAAAACATTTGCCCTCTTCGTGGCAGCGTTCCTACATTCGGTCCCAAGGACCAGAGCAGGGCATGGGCAGGAAAGGCCACTTTGCCATGCTCTTGGAGGCAAGGGTTTGGGGGTGAGCCACAGTGAGACTTCTTAGAACGTCACCCCCCAATCCTTAGGCTTAGGGGCTTGGCAGTTGGTGAAAACATCCAGCTGGGAGGTGGATGCTCAGGGAAGGGGGTGTTCCAAATGTGCGTTGCAGACGGCACATCCCGGGGCATGTCCCATGGGCCCTGAGGAGGGAGGGTGTGTCTGAGTGAGCCCTCAAAGAAGCATGCAGGTATTCAGCTGCCTCAGTGCTAAATTACCGCATGACTTCCATACCATCTGTCCATAACCGAGGGCCCTCTACCTCAGCCAGCCGGACCCTCCTTGGAGACTTCTGGACCTCTTCCACGGCCCGGAGACCAAAGGGTTCATGTCTGGCCCCACGGCTGT